TTTTTGAGTTGGAGTCTCACTCTGTCACCCAAACTGGAGTGCAGTGGCCGCTCCCGGCCACTGTAACCTCAACCTGCTGGGCTCCAGCGATCCTTCTGCCTCAGCCTTCCAAGTAGCTGGAACTACAGGCGTGCACTACCACGCCCGGCTGATTTTTGATTTATTGTAGAGATGAGGTCTCGCCAAGTTGCCCAGGCGGGTCTCGAACTCGCGGGCTCAGGCAATCCTCTCACCTCAGCCTCCCAAAGGTGTGGGATTACAGGCTGAGCCACCGAGCCCGGCTTCAAACCCACTTTTCATAGGTCACTACTCATTTGTTTTGTGTCCTCCCAGTGCTTCTTTTTACAAATATAAGCAAGGAGGACTATGCTTATTCTTATCTCACTACCTCCATCCCCCAGCTTAAGAGACAGCATTCTAGACATACTGTTCTACAACTTGTTTATGTTACTGAACAGTGTAGCCTAGAGATCTTTTCCATCCCATTCTCTTATACTTGGCCATACTCGTCTCCTACATAGGGATACTTGGCTTGTTTTCCAGTCTTTTGCTATTACAGATAATGAGCAGTGTTAACCTTGTATGTGTCATTTCATTTGTTGCAACTATATTTGTGAGATACAGTCCCAAAAATTTGATTGCTACATTGTAGGGTAAATGGGTTTGTGATTTTGATAGACATTGAAGGAGCACCTTATTTTATGTAACAAACCTAAGAGTAAATGGGCGTTCAATAGTGGTTAACGCCGGGCTCGGTGGCTCAGCCTGTAATCCCGTGCCTTTGGGAGGCTGAGGTGAGTGGATTGCCTGAGTCCGTGGGTTTGAGACCCGCCTGGGCAGCGAGACCTCACTTCTACAATAAATCAAAAAATCAGCTGGGCGTGGTAGCGCATGCCTGTAATTCCGGCTACTCGGAAGGCTGAGGCGGAAGGATCGCCGGAGCCCAGCAGGTCGAGGCTGTGGTGGCCAGGAGCGGCCACTGCACTCCAGTCTGGGCGACAGAGTGAGACTCCAACTCAAAAAAAAAACAAAAAACAAACAAACAAACAAAAATAGTGGTTAACTCTTTTATGTAGTGAAACCCCATAACTAGATATACAAATTCTTCATTGTTTGCTTCTGATAATATTGTTAGTCTGATTAAATAGCATTTAGAGTCCCTAGTCAGTTGCCTGTGGGAGGTTAATATGTTATATAATTATTTATGCCATTATGTAATGAGAATGGATAGACGTTGAGAACAGTGATTCACATTCTTCAGCCACATAAATTATAAGTCACTTCATTTATTTAGAGCTAGAAAAGAATCTTTGAACTTGCTCACAACAGGATACAGCAAAAACTCCTGCCTACTGGTACATGCAGCATGGAAGAGGGATCAACAGAGCCCAGATAAACCATGAGTGTGTCCCTACCAGGCAGAGACACTGTTTCACTTATATGCTCTATGTTTCCATTGGGAACATATTTGCCACTTACTTATTTACGTGATAGGTATAATTAAATAATTGATATTTGTATAAAACACTTTGACAAATTAGGGAAAGAATTTGGCAAATTGAAATGTGTTTTATGAATCTGCTTAGGTGGTTCCATGGAAACAGATCTTTATCTCAGCATTTTAACTATTAAAAGATACACAACAGAAATCAGAGAGGTAGGGGAACTACTTTGAGGAAAAGCAGAAGGAGCTAAATATCTACTCCCTGGCAGCTGAGTGCAATTACTTGTAGTTTTGAATGGGAAATATTGGGAACTTTAAGAACTAATTTCTTGCTCTGATATTATCTAACGGAATGGTGCCTTAGTCCATTTTGTGTTGCTATAACCATGTACCACAGACTGGATGTTTTATAAACAATAGAAGTTTATTTGACTCACAGTTCTGGAGGGTGAAAAGTCCAAGATCAAGAGGTGGATCTGGTGAGGGCCTTCTTGCTGGGACATAATATGGCAGAAGGCAGCACATGGAGAGAGAGACAGAAAGCCACTTTTCACAATAACGAAACCACTCCCACAATAGTGGCATTAATCCATTCATGAAAGCATAGCCCTTATGACCTAATCACATCTTATTAGGCCCCATCTCCCAGCACAATTGCATTGGGGACTAAGTTTCCAGCATGAGCTTTAGGGGACCATAGCAAGTGATATTCCAGAGATAGGGTAGGGACTAGATACTTGTTTCAGTACATTACATAGTTACTATCCCATTTTACATTCTTTTTGTTCTGGGAGCCATTTTATCTTTTCAGTTATAAAGTTAACTTCCCATCTTAGTTTGGTATTATATTTTCTCATTAGTCCTCAGAGATATTTACATGTATTTGAAAAGAATCTAGAAAAACAATTATTTAAGTAAACCATATGTTAAGAAATAAGGAATCTGTTTAGAAATGATTGACGTTTGATATTTTTAACAGTTGCAAAATGCAAATTTTTAATTACAGAATTTATTAAATGTTTATATTATCTTTTAAAAAATTTTTTGTTTTAGATTCAAGGGGTATGCATATGTATTCGTTACATGGACATACTGTGTAATTGTGGGTATTGAACCTCAGGTGGTCCATTCCCACATATAGTGGACATTGTACCCCACAGGAAGTTTCTGATATCTAACCCCCCCGCCCTCCTTCCCCCTTATTGGTGTCCCCAGTGTCTATTATTTCCATCTTTGTGATAAGTTAGCTCTCACATATGAGTGAAAACATGCGATGTTTGGTTTTCAGTTTCTGCATCAGTTTACTTAGGATGATGATCTCTAACTCCATCCATGTTGCTAAAATCCATGATTTCATTCTTTTTTATGGCTGCTAAATTTTTATATTAATCTTTTTTGTATACTAGGTATTCTATTTCATAATAAAAGAAATGCTTAACCACATTGAGAGCAATGTTTTAGTGTTTATTCCCTAGATAAGGAAAGTTTAACAGAAAGTGTTGCTTTCTTACCTGAGACCTAATCAAAGGGTAGTTGGTGCTGTGCTTTTTTACTCCAGCTCTCCTGTAATCCTGACAGTAAATTCACATCTCTTGGACCTGCCCAATTTCTTCATTCTATAAAAATGGCTATTTAGAGAGTGTTTGCTTGTTTGGGTAAGATGTAGTATTGATCACTTGCTTATGTGCTAGGCATTGTGCTAAGTACTTGGCATGCATCATTCCATTTTCCTTAACTACATCCCTATGAGATAATATTATGTCCCTATTTTGAATACAAAATCTTCTTCAAAAAATCGTTATTACTACAATTAAAACAATTGACCTAACAAAACACCTTGGATTAATTTTCCTTTTTCAAATCCCTCCCCAGCGTACCAGTAATGTTCGATCCACATTTTTCAAGGACTGTTTATATGAAGTATTTGATGACTTGGAGTCAAAGATGGAAGATTCTGGAAAACAGCTACTACAGTCAGTTCTTCACCTGATGGAAAATGGAGCCCTTGTATTAACTACAAATTTTGATAACCTCCTGGAACTGTATGCAGCAGATCAGGGAAAGCAACTTGAATCCCTTGACCTTACTGATGAGAAAAAGGTAAATAGTCTCTTATTCAGGCTAGTGGATTGTATCTTCATCAGAAAATCTGTTTTCTTTTATTTATTTATTTATTTATTTTTGCTCACGAGTCTACACATTTTCTAGTTGGTATATAGGTTTTTTTTTTTTTTATTTTTTTTTTATTTTTTTGAGTTGGAGTCTCACTCTGTCGTCCAGACTGGAGTGCAGTGGCTGCTTTCGGCCACTGCAGCCTCGACCTGCTGGGCTCCGGCGATCCTTCCACCTCAGCCTTCCCAGTAGCCGGAATTACAGGCATGCACTACCACGCCCGGCTGATTTTTTTGATTTATTGTAGAGATGAGGTCTCGCTGCCCAGGCGGGTCTCGAACCCGCGGGCTCAGGCAATCCACTCACCTCAGCCTCCCAAAGGCGCGGGGGTATAGGTATTTATGTAATGCTAGAAAGGGAGGTTCTTTTTCCCTGGTTGGATTTTTGGGGGTTTTGTTTTTGAGGTAAAATACATGGATCTTAAAAGTGTTCAGTTCCTGTAATCCCAGCACTTTGAGAGGCGGAGGCGAGAGGATTGCCTGAGCTCAGGGGTTCAAGACCAGCCTGAGCAACATGGCAAGACTCATCTCTACAGTAAGTAAAAAAATTAGCTGAGCATGGTAGCACATGCCTGTGGTTCCAGCTACTTGGAAGGCTGAGGCGGAATGATCACCTGAGCCCGGTAGGTCGAGGCTGCGGTGGCCGTGAGCATACCACTGCATTCCATCCTGGGTGGCAGAGTGAGACTCTCCAACTCAAAAAAAAAAAAAAAAAAGTTCAGTTCTATGATTTTTAGCAGTTTCACCCAGTCTTAAAGCAAGATTAGAGGAAGTCATTTGAACTATAAGATCTCTTTAGAGCTTGATAATATCAGGTGGTGTAATATAATACTAATTTAGAGTTCTTGCTTAGGATGTATTCTCTATGGCATCTATTGGAAGTGTATGAAAACTACTTTATGCTGATTGGAAGTACAGCTTCCAGACTAAATGATAGCTGGGTTGAGGTTAATGTTTAGAGGACAACACAGCAGATTTTTTTTTAACATAGTGCATACAGTACCTACCATAAAATACACATCCATCATAATATTGAATTATAGATGTTGGTCTGTGCCCAAACAAGATGGATCCTTAAGGTCTTATTTGTCCTGCACTGTGGTTTTTGTAATTTCATCCTACACTTGGTTTTCCTCAACAACCAGCCTTTATGTCCAATTTAGAGCCCAACTAAGTAGAGTTGAATAGATAAGTGATTTGTTCACTGGCATTCATTGCCACAGTATTTCCTCTGCCAAGGTAGTAGCTGTAATACTACACTTATGGCTTTGCTGACCTTGAAGCCAGGTTTTAAAACAGAATTAAAGACTGGTTTTATTTGTATATTTTCCACCGACTCCCTCATGCTATGTATGGTCAGCTCCTTCTTCACTTACAAAGCCTAACTCAAGCATTACTCCTCTGAGAGACCTTCTCTGACCAACTTATTTAAATTGGACACTTATTTTTCTTGCAGTTTTCTTGGGTGCAATGGCTTACGCTTATAATCCCAACACTTTGGGAGGCAGAGGCGAGAGGATTGCCTGAGCCTACGGTTTCAAGACGAGTCTGGGCAACTTCAAGACCTCATCTCTACAGTAAATCAAAAAATGAGCCATGCGTGTTGGTGTGCACCTGTGGTTCCAGCTACTTGGGAGGCTGAGATAGAAAGATCACCTGAGCCCAGCAGGTTGAGGCTGCAGTAGCCAAGAGCGTGTTACTGCATTCCAGCCTGGGCAACAGTGCAAGACTCCTACTCAAAAGAAAAAAAAACTTTCAGTTTTTATCTTGGCTCTTCTGTTTATTTTCTGACTGTTTACCCTACAGGAATAGTACCTCCATTTGGACATGCCAGTCTTTCTCCTATCTCAGATGCTACCTGACACATACTGGGTCCTCATTAAAAAAAAATTTTTTTTTGAGTTGGAGTGTTACTCAGGCTGGAGTGCAGTGGCACACTGACCTGCTGGGCTCAGGCGATCCTTCTGCCTCAGCCTTCCAAGTAGCTGGAACTACAGGCATGCGCCACCGTGCCCAGCTACTTTTTTTGATTTATTGTAGAGATGAAGTCTCTACAGGCTGTGCTGAAACCTATGAGCTCAGGAAATCCTCTCACCTTGGCCTCCCAAAGTGCTGGTATTATAGATGTGAGCCACTGCGCCTGGCCAAATAATTTTTAATTAATAATGATTGAATAAAAATGTAAAATTAGTGGCTTAGAATAGCTCCCATGTTGTTTCTGATATAATCTCCAAAGATTGTAACCAAGTATTTATGGTCATCAGAAGCATACAGCCTTATCAAAGCCAAGAATAGCTATCAGATTTGATATTTTCTTTCACTTCATCCTTGAGCCTCAATATTTGCTTTGTATTGTTAGCCAACATCAAGGACAATGTCAAAGTCATAAAACTCATATTCTAAATCTCTGTGTATCTTGACTATTTTTTATAATCTATACCCTATTTCTCCAAAATGCGATAAGAAAAAAATTATATACTGTCTCAAGTCCTTGGGAAAAATCAGACCAGGGAATCAGGTGGCTGGCTATTGCAGTCACTGGCATCTAAATGATTGTTTATCACTGGCTGCCTTTTCTGTTCCTCAGAGGTGACTGAAATGATTGTTTGTTTGTTCGTGTTTTTTTTGAGTTGAGTCTCACTTGGTCGCCCAGACTGGAGTGCAGTGGCCGCTCCTGGCCACCACAGCCTCGCCTGCTGGGCTCCAGCGATCCTTCCCCCTCAGCCTTCCGAGTAGCCGGAGTTACAGGCACGCGCTACCACGCCCGGCTGATTTTTTTTATTTTTATTGTAGAGATGAGGTCTTGCTGCCCAGGCGGGTCTCGAACCCGTGGGCTCAGGCAATCCACTCACCTCAGCCTCCCAAAGGCGCGGGATTACAGGCTGAACCACCAAGCCTGGCTTGAAATGACTGCTTTATCACTTACCTATTCTATACAAGAAACCACCCTGAAACTGTGTGACTTAAGATTACAAACATTTTATTTGCCCTTGATAAAGTGAATTAGCAATTTGAGCTGGACTCAGCAGCTCAGCTGGACTGTTCTGCTGGTTTTGTGGCCTATTCATGTAGCTACAATTATCTGGTCACCAGACTCTGCCTAGATGATATAAGAAGGCCTCACCTGCAGTCTGCAGATGCAGATAGTTGGCTGGACCATAAGCAGACTAGCTCAGACCTCCTCATGTGACATTTGGGCTCCAAAAGCAGCAGAAGAGAAATAAGACTCATTGTGCCAATGCTTTTCAAGCTTTTGCTTATATCATGTTTGCTAATGACCCATTAGCTAAAAGCAAGCCATGTGGCCAGCCTGGAGTCACTGTGAAAAGGAACTGCACAAGGTCCTAGATGCAGAAAGGCTTGATTTCTTGGGGTCATCACTGAAACTGTTGTCTATAGCTCTCCTGTATGTCACCAGTGCAAAGGGTCCCTGTTGTTTTTGCAAATGGTGACAAATTCTAATTTTTGTTACTTTCAAAGAGAAAACACCAGACTTGCTACCATCATTCTTGACAGTCATACCTAAAATTTCAACTTAGATCACATCAGGCTTTGCATTCTTGTCCTGTGATATCACGAAGGTAAAGAGTTATTTCAGAAATCTAGTCCTCAAAACAGCCCCTTGCCCATTGTGACCTTTAAGCAGGTGGGCTATATATTTGTTGTTGTGCAGGTCCTAGAGTGGGCTCAGGAGAAGAGGAAGCTGAGCGTGTTGCACATCCATGGAGTCTATACCAACCCAAGTGGCATTGTCCTTCATCCAGCTGGATATCAGAATGTGCTCAGGAACACTGAAGTTATGGTGAGTGATGCTGACATTGCTGGTCTCAGGAACTCCTTCCTGGGGATCCTTTATAAATGTGTCATAAGTCTTTCTTTTCATTAACCCAAACCTGGAAGGTCAGACATTCTTTCTGTGCTTAGCTTGTGGGTATGCTTGCCATCCTAGGAAATGCAGAACTTCTCTTAAGGTGTCAAACCCCAGGGTCCTTATTTGTACTTGATTGACAACCAATAGGTAGTTGGTTGTGGAAAAGTATATTGATCTTTTGGGATGTACATCTTTGACTTTTCAAACCAGAAACACTCTCTGGTCAGTGAAATGGGGGAAAATTCACTGGCCCCCTACATCATGTGTGCCAGCTATTTTTAGGACTCGGTCACATAGAATGGTAGCCTCTTTGCATGATGTGGCAAAACAAAGACCATGAAAATGTATTTTCTAAAGCATGGAGCCTTTTTTTCATCTATTCTTTCTCTGACATTTACTGTAACTGCATTCATCACTGACATTGAATGATCCCATAGGTATAATAATTTCTAATGTTTTTATACATATGCACACACACATCACATATACACACCCATACTTGTTGATGTTCTAAGTATCAGCCTTTCTTTGAGCAAATCTGGTGATGAAATTATCTTCTCTGGTGACCCGTGGTTCAGCTTGTAAGGTAAAAAAAAAAAAAAGGTCCAGAAAATTGAAATATGGCCCAAAAAGGTCCAAATATGGTCCAGAAAATTGAAAGAATAAGATATATTGAAGACCTACTTGTTGCCTAATGACTTCTGGACACATAAACCTAAAAAAAAGTACAGAACAGTAGACGAGTGCCAACCTATGAAACACTGATTAGAGAGCCTAGAGAAGAATGTCAGGTAATGGTAAAATTTCAGTCCAAATAAGTTACAGTAATAAACAAGATCATGGGACATACCAACCCTCCGAAATTTTAATTAATTGCTCATCACAGTCTGCTAAATGTAGAGTTATGAACCCTTTGACTTTTTTGTTTCAAACCTACCTTGTGTGTGTCTTCATAATGTTATTAATATATAGTTTCTTTTCCTTCAAGAGAGAGATTCAGAAACTCTATGAAAACAAGTCATTTCTTTTCCTGGGCTGTGGCTGGACTGTGGATGACACCACTTTCCAAGCCCTCTTCCTGGAGGCCGTCAAGCATAAATCAGACTTAGAACATTTCATGCTGGTTCGGAGAGGAGATGTAGATGAGTTCAAGAAGCTTCGAGAAAACATGCTAGACAAGGGGATTAAGGTCATCTCCTATGGAAATGACTATGCTGATCTTCCAGAATACTTCAAGCGACTGACATGTGAGATCTCTACAAGGGGTAGATCAGGTAAGATGCATTTTGAGACTAAGGGGGATTAGAGAACAACAGCAGCCTTTTCTGTATTTGTGATGGTTAAAAATCATTGCCAAGAGGAGGAATGTAATGCTCAACCAAATTGTAAAGGAGATCAGTCTTCAGGTTAGACTAAAATGCCATCTGGATAATAGGAAAATAGACAAAAGATATACTCCAGCTGTTCAATACAGAAGTAGGAAGAATGAGGAAAACATATGTAAAGATGTTTGGCCTCACTAGTTATCCATGAAATGCAATTAGAATTTAGATTTAGAAATAGGAATGATCATTCAGTTTTGGCTAATACTATGAGGAAAGGAATTTAATAATGTAGTATTGGTGGGAAGGTAAAAATAGTACAGCTTTTATAAAGGTAAATTTAAAATATGTGGCAAAAATTTAAAAACTAGCTGGGCTCGATGGCTCAGCCTATAATCCCGCGCTTTGGGAGCCTGGGTTGAGACCCACCTGGGCAACTTGGCGAGACCTCATCTCTATAATAAATCAAAAAAGTTAGCCGGGCGTGGTAGCGCGTACCTGTAGTTCCAGCTACTTGGAAGGCTGAGGCGGAAGGATCGCCCAGAGCCCAGCAGGTCAAGGCTGCGGTGGCCAGGAGTGTGCCACTGCACTCCAGTCTGGGCGACAGAGTGAGACTCTAACTCAAAAAAAAAAAAAAAATTTTAAAAACCTTTGAATTCAGAAATCCCGCCAATACAGTTTATCCTAGAAAAACTTTCTCCAAGGGAGAGAATTGGATGATTCTGCAACCACACAGTTGTGCAAAGATGCATGTATAAGAATGTAATCCAGCCAGGTGTGGTGACTCATGTCTGTAATCCCAGCACTTTGGGAGGTGGAAGTGAGAGGATTGCCTGAGCCCAAGCATTCAAGACCAGCCTGGGCAACTTGGTAAGACCTCGTCTATACGTTAAACCAGAACATTAGCTGGGCATTGTGGTACGTGCCTGTGGCTCCAGCTACATGGAAAAGCTGAGGCAGAAGGATCACCTGAGCCAGCAGGTTGAGGCCGTGGTGGCCATGAGAGTGCAACTGCATTCCAGCCTGGGTGACAGAGTAAGACTCCAACTCAAAAAAAAAAAAAGGTAATCCGTTTGTATATGATGGCAAAAAATTGGAAGGAACCTAGTGTGTCCCAATCAGTAGGGGGTTCCATAGATACACCAATATGTATTTAATTAGTGAAGTACAATGAAGCCATAAAAGGGGAAATGTGTTCATTGCCATAAAAAGATGTCAGAGACATATGAGTGAAGGAAGAAAAAGCAATTTGTAAACACCGTGGTCAGTTTCATTAATATATAACTGTAGGCATTCTATTTGTGTGCATGGAGGGCTATGTGTAGAAATGTATAGAATGAGCTGGGTTCGGTGGCTCAGCCTGTAATCCCAGCACTTTGGGAAGCTGAGGTGAGTGGATTGCCTGAGCCCACGGGTTCGAGACCTGCCTGGGCAACTTGGCGAGACCTCATCTCTACAATAAATCAAAAATTAGCCGGGCATGGTAGCACGCGCCTGTAGTTCCAGCTACTTGGAAGGCTAAGGCGGAAGGATCGCCGGACCCCAGCAGGTCAAGGCTGCGGTGTCCGGGAGCGGCCACTGCACTCCAGTCCGGGCGACAGAGTGAGACTCCAACTCAAAAAAAAAAAAAAAAAGAAATATATAGAATGGTGTTTACTAAATTAACTGGCTATCTTTTTGTAATAGGATTTAAAGTGTTTTGTGAGGTTTTTTTCTGTTAGCATTTTCTGTAACAATTATGTATTTTTATAAACAGAAACTTAAAATGCTATGTGGAAACTGTTATGATAGTGTCAGGGTCAAAGGTTAGGAGTACCACTCACTTGGTTAAATTACTTCGATATTCTAACAATAAAGAGCAAAACAGTAATTAAAGGTTTTATTTATTAATGGCTGCAGGCAAATTCCCAATAATCCTACAGAATATAGACTTTTTTTTCTTTACTTTTTTTTTTCCTAAGTCAGGGTCACACTCTCTCACCCAGGCTGGAGTACACTGGCACGATCATGGCTAACTGCAGCCTCAAACTCCTGGGCACAAGTGATTCTCCTGCCTCAGCCTCCCAAGTGGATGGGACTACAGGCACATGCCACCCAGCTAATTTTTTAGGTTTTTGTTTTTTTTTTTGTAGAGATGAGGTCTCACTGGTTTTTTGTTTGTTTTGACTATGTTATTTTTCTTATATGTTATATGTCATACATGTATAATATAAATCATATATGTTATATGTGTATATACATATATTACAGAAGGGATGATCTAAAGACAATAACAGGTAATTAAAATTTAGTTGATTAAGTTTATCTAATAAAATAAATGTGAATCAAAATAAAAGTTAAGCAAGATATCAATAAAAGACTCATTAAAATACTCTAGGCCATGTACATTAATGAAGGTTTAAATGGGAGCATCATGAAAAGCTCATAGTTAAGATTCTGTCGCAAACTCCCAAGCATTAAATGAAAGGCTTAGACTAGATATATTTTAAGGTTTATCACTCACTGTTTCTTAGTCTGGTCTTAAACTCCTGGGCTCAAGCAGTCCTTCCACCTCAGACTTCCAAAAGGCTGGGATTATAGGCATAAGCCACTGTGCCCAACCAATGCAAATGTTTTTGTATCAGCAAAAATGAAGAATGCTTTTTAAAACCTAACGTTGAATTGACTCATTCTGACTCACCCATGCAGTTCCAAAGAAACTTTGCTGTTGTATACAAACATGTTCCTAAAAAGTTATATGCGTATATTAAATAGCTCTCTGCACAAGGAGACGTCTCGTAGATCACCTGCCAGCCACTTGACTGCATTTTTTTTAAGGAATAGTGAAAAACGAATCACTTCATATTAAATAGTGTAGTGTTGGAACCAATTATTTTATTGTAATGATATTTGGTTTATAATGGAACTTTGAACATTGAGGAACTTACTTATGACCAAAAAAGTCAAAATTTTGTGTATTTTTGTCACGTGGTAATGTGTGAAACAGTCACTGACGTGCATTGCCGGTTCACTGATACATGTTGTGCAACAGTAATTTGTTAGGCATCTTCCACCTGGTGCTTTTCTATTTGAGCAGACAATGTAGCCTCATTTTCTTCCTCCCATATTAGTAATATGTAATTTTTGTCCAGTCTGTTGTCCAAAGATGGTGTGGAAGGACACACTCATAATTCCTGAAAACCACTTCTCAACCAATCAATCATATCTCAGTAATATTCCATCTTTTTGTTTTCATACAATTTGAATGGAAAAGTTCAAGGTAACATTTTTGAAAAATTTGCACGGGTACAAGTTTTTCCTATATAATCACCAGCAACCTCTTTATGTCCCCTCAGAGGGGACATCTGAATGCAGAGGGTTAATACATATTTTCACTGTCAATCTGAATGCATCTTACAGGACTTATTAAAGTTCAAGTAATTTAATATATAAGGACACTTTCCTAGATCTCATCATTCCCAGATTTCTTTTCTGAATCAGATGGCTTCAAGTGGAATTCTCCTGTAATGAAAAATTACACAAATTCTTCTGTGGCTATGCTTTGACAGAACAAGACTTTTAAAAGCCATCACAATATGAACACTGCAAACTATGTCTACCCTTTCTCCAGAAGGGTTAGAAACCCCTTAGAAAGACAGACCTTTTGGTTTGTCTCTTTTGTGAAATCTACATGCTGTTCTTTTTTGAGGATGTTTTTCTGGTCTACAGTGTTCCCGACTCTGCTCACACTTGATTTTGTGTAAGCTTTCCCATTGATATGTTTTGTTTTCATTAACAAGAGAAACATACCCAAGCTCTAGGTATTTTGAGCTATATATTCTGAGATCTTCTACCCAGGAAAGATGCTAAAATTTAAAACAACAAAATCCCTCTCTTGCACTCAGTCTTAACAAAAAACATTAGAACTGTTGTGGAAGGGCACAGATTTTGTTATTAGTTATGCAGGTTTCTTTCCCCAGTTATCAGTCATTAAAGTATCTTATATATTTTTAAATCAAGGATTTTTAATATGGCCAGGAAACTTAATTAAAATGATCAGTGGAGTTTGTAATTTGAAATACAGCAGAGCAGTTTTAAATTACATTTCATTTTGAGATGAGTTGAGCTTATTTTCCATCCTTGGGTGTTTTTAGTGTCTGCAGAGACTGATAAGAGGTTATAGGCCTTTTATTGTTGTTTCTTGACTCTGACCATTTGCTTTGTGCCCAGCATTGTGCTATAATTCCTATAGTTTGAGTAGTTTTTTTCATATATTCTTTTTTTTTGAGCTGGGGTCTTATTCTGTTGCCCAGGCTGGAGTGCCGTGTCCTGATCATAGCTCACCATAGCCTTCAACTCGTAGGCTTGGGCAGTCGCTCCGCCTCAGCCTCCCTAGCCTTCAGCACACACCACCTTGCCCAGCTAATTTTTCAAAAAAATTTTTTATGGAGATAGGATCTCACTATGTTGCCCGGGCTAGCATCTCCTACAATTCCCCAAAGTGCTGGGATTACAGGTGTGAGTCACTGCACCCGGCCAGTATATTTCTGATTAACAGTTTTCCCATGCATTTTTGTATATTTGTAAACAAAGCACAGGCCTGGCATGGTGGTTCATGACTGTAATCCTAACACTTTCAGAGGCGGAGGTGGGAGGCGGGAGGAATACTTGAGCCCAGGAATTCGAGACCAGCATGGGCAACATAGAGACACCATTTCTACAAATAAACACATTTTTAAAAAGTATACAGTTTCAGTACTTTTAAAATTCAGTAGTACATCATAAATTTTTCCCCATATTGCTAGTCTTCATAATTGCTGTTATTAACTGGTTGTTTTATATCCCAGTATGGATGCTACCCTGTACTTTATTATTCCCTTGTTAGGCAGTTTCTGTTTTTTTCCAGTTTTTTAATTGTAAGTACTGCTACAATGAATAACATCTTCATCCCTACAGTTTTTTCCCTTGCCAGAAATTTCCTGTGATGAGTTCTCAGTGTAATTAGGTCAGAGGACATGAACACCTTAGTGATTGATAATTAATGCTAAATTGCTTCCCAAAAGGGAATACCAATTTGCATGTCCCCATGCCATGTCTGTTTATACTAATTGATCTATTTCTGATTATTTTCTTTCATATCTTCATTTTAGTACTTTTTTATACACCATTTTCTATCCCAGTGTTATCCAATAGTATTTTCTGCAGTCATAAAAATATTCTGTGGCTGGGCTCGATGGCTCAACCCGTAATCCTGTGCCTTGGGAAGCTGAGGTGAGTGGATTGCCTGAGCCCGTGGGTTCGAGACCCACCTGGGCAACTTGGCAAGACCTCATCTCTACAATAAATCAAAAAATTACCCAGGCGTGGTAGCATGCACCTGTAGTTCCAGCTACTTGGAAGGCTGAGGCGGAAGGATCGCCAGAGCCCCAGCATGTTGAGGCTGTGGTGGCCGGGAGTGGACACTGCACTCCAGTCTGGGCGACAGAGTGAGACTCCACAACTCAAAAAAAAAAAATCTGTAATCTCACTGTCCAACTTCATTGATAGCCACAAGCCAGATGTGGCGATTGAGCACTTGGACTATGGCTAGTGTAGCCAGGCATGGTGGCTCACAACTGTAGTCCCAACACCTTGGGAGCCCACCAGTTTGGGACCAGCCAGGCTACTTGGCGAGACCTCATCTCTACAAAAAATCAAAAAATGAGTCAGATGCGGTGGCGCATACCTGTAGTTCCAGCTACTTGGGAGGCTGAGGTGGAAAGATCACCTGAGCCCAGCAGGTCAAGGCTGCAATGGCTGAGTGTTCCCCTGCACTCTAGCCTGGGCAAGAGTGAGACTTGGACTCAAAAAAACAATGTGGCTAGTGTGACCGAGACATGGAATTTTTAATTTAATTTGAAACTAAAGCCGGGCTCAGTGGCTCAGCCTGTAATCCCGCGCCTTTGGGAGGCTCAGGTGAGTGGACTGCCTGAGCCCCCCGCGGGTTTAAGACCCGCCTGGGCAGCGAGACCTCATCTCTACAATAAATCAAAAAAATCAGCCGGGCGTGGTAGCGCATGCCTGTAATTCTGGCTACTGGGAAGGCTGAGGTGGAGGGATCGCTGGAGCCCAACAGGTCTAGGC